ATTGGTTCTTGTTTGTGCTATCTCATCTTATGTACCTGACCATCTTTGTTTATGTTCCTCCTTGTGTGTCAGGGGAGAAGTAAATATCTTTTTTCTTTAACCACGAGAGTTATATTCTTAACATTTAAAAAAAGTTTATTAGTACATGTTTGCTAGTATATAACTTCAATCGTGAGGAGTTGGTGCATGTACATAATACATCTTAACTCTTTTTAGCAAACTTTCTCCTTTTGAAACACCCTTGGCTTTGATTTTGTGCTCCTGGATTTGTAAAGGTTTCAAGAACAGCCTGTTTTTCTTTTATTTTTTTTTAGATCTTCGAATACCAAAAGAGATAAAACAGCTTGGGGTGGTTTGGATTTCCTCTCCAAGTTCCATTCTTCTGTCTGGTTTTAGCCAGGTAATTCTTCACAACCTTGTTAGGTGTTTGCAGCTTTTAAGCTGCTTTTAAAAAGTGTTTTCTCCAGCATTTGTATTTGTCCTCAAAGGGACATTTCATCCAAGTTATGTAATTTGCCATTACCAGAAGCTAAAATATGTCAGCTTTTATACTTTTATTTCCTTGTAAGGATTAATCAGTGTTATTCATATAAAATTGCAGCTAAATCCAATTTGGCATAAATTTTTTTTCTCAGTATGAATACTGGTAGTTAAAAGACCATTCTTGACACCTATGTTGTGTATTCACTCACATATTTAAATTCTGACTCTCAGTTTACATTGCTATGTTTTGATTGCTACGGAGATGAGGTAGGACCAAATGTTCTTTATGTGTATTTATATACAGAACTTTTTGGGTGCTGGGTCTTGTTAGTAGGAATGATTTAATTTTTATCTTGTTTCCTTTGAAATGAGCCATACCACTGTTAGCAGAGAATAGAATATTTAAATGTTTCCTGGGTGTTCTTCCAAACCAGCCATAGAAAATGAAAGAATGATTAATGCTCCAAAGTACTCTGAGCATCTTTTAACCGGAATATGACTGATGTGGTCCTTCAAATGACTGACTCCTTCTTGTCATTGCAATCTCAAATGTCACCTGTTTTATAGAAGCCCTCCCAATCTGAGTAATCAGTCTTTATTCCTCCTTCATAGCTTGTATCAGTGTCTGATGATAATCTCTTCTTTTTTTTCTCTCTGAAAAAAATTCAAAGTTTGATGAGGTCAAGGACCTTGTCTATCTTGTTCAGCACTGTCTTGCATGTTTTATTTACCCAGTCCTTGAAACATGGGAGATAGTCAGGAATTATTTGTTTAGTAAATATTTTTTTCCAAATTGTGGCACTGTCTATGCTAGATGTCAAATTATTTAAAAAGATTCCATTAAACTACAGTTAAGTTTGTGAAATAAATGCAGTGAAAGGAGGTCAGTGTGGTTGGAGTGAAGCAAGCTAAGGGAGGGGCTAAGAGGTGGTATCAGAGGAGGGGAGATCCAGGCCTGTAGGTTTCCCTCATAATGCTGTGGGAGGCCATGAGGGGATTTTAAGTGAGAAGTGACACGATCTGACTTACCATAAAAAACTACTCTGACTCCTGTCAAGACTGTAAGAAGTTATAGGAATATTTCAGTATGGTTTATTCTGGGGTTTCACATATCTCCTGCTGGCTGTTTTGTCTACTTCAGTGCCCAAACCATCCTTTTTTTAATTTCCATAGCTTCATTATTACCCGCAACATATTCCCTAGGGCATCCTGCCAGATCCTCCTCTCAAGGCCCAAGTGTTCTTTCTTTTTTTATTCTTATTTTCTTTTTAAAATTCTTTTCTCCATATTGGAAGAGGGTGCTGTTTATACTTAAAACTCTGTTCTTCCATAGATATTTTAAAATCTACCAGTCTTAAATCTTCAGAAAGCCAAATTAGGGTTTTGATTAGAGTGCATCAATTGTATGGATCAATGTGAAAAGAATCCACATCTTTATAGTACTGAAGCATCCTAGACTTAAATTTGGATAACCTGATTTATTAGGTCTTCTTTAATACCTTTGAATAAAGTTAAATATACTTGACAAGAGTTCTTGAGTATCTTTTATCTTGTTAAATCGTAAATTTATTGTTACTGTAAATGTGATATTTAAAAATAACATTTTCTATTTTTCTGTTTACAAATGTAATTTATATTTGTATATTAAGCTTATGTTCAGATATTTTGCTAAACACTTGTTATTCTAATACTTTGTAAATTCCTTTGCGTTTTCTCAGTAGACAATAATACCTGCAAGGTCTGCTTAGTATTCCTCTTTCTGATCCTCTATGTTTTATTCATTTACTTTTTCTTTACTGGGGTGGCTAGAACACACCAAAATGTTTAATAATAATGTTAATGAGTATTAATGATAGAATTTCTTTATCATGTTCATAATTTTTTTTTTTTCTAGTACTGGGGATTGAACTTGGGGGCTGACACATGCTAGAGAAATGCTCTGTCAGTAAGTTACACTCCTAACTCTGATTCCCTTTTTATTTTTTATTTTGAGACAAAATCTCACAAAGTTGCCCAGGCTAGCCTCAAACTTGCAACCTTCCTTCCTCAGCATCCTGAGAACCTGGGACTACAGGCTTGTGCCACTATGCCCACTCATGTTCTTAATTTTAGAGACCATGTCTAATATTTCATATTGGAGAATGTTTGCTGTAGGCTTTTGTTAGATGCTTTGATCAGAATGTGAATATTTTAAAATCATGTAATTATAGACATATTATTCTTTAGAAAGATTGTTTCCATTTATGTTATCATCCTTGTTTGAAAAAGCGTGTCTTTTCAATACTTATCCACATCAAATATGATCTACTTATTTTGTAAAAGTTTCAAATTTCATAGCAGTGAAGAACATTTCTTTGTTTAAATTTATTTCTTTCTTTTAAACCAACTTTTTATGCCAATACCACGATTACTCTTTATAGAAGTAGGGTAGGCTTTTTAGTTAATTAAAAGAATTTGTCAGGCACAATGGTACATGCCAGTAATCTAGCTACTTGAGAAGCTGAGGCAGTAAGATGGCCATTTTGAAGCCAGTTTGGGCAACAGATCTTGTCTTAAAAAGAAGAATAAATAAAAGAACTAATTTTGAACATATTTCAGATTTTAGAGAAAAATTACAAAACAGTACAAAGAATTTTATATTTCTTCTAGCCCTGGTCCAAATTTTCTTCTTTTTGTAGTTGGTTTTTTTTGAGGTAAGTCGAAGAAAGTCAGTATGTCACATATGAAGTCACTATGTAACTCAGGTGGCCTTGAACTTGGAGCAATCCTTTTGCCTCAGCCTCCTGAATGCTGAATTTACAGGCGTGTGCCACCATGGCCAGCTTGGATTATTCAAATGTTACCATTTTACTGTTTTTGCTTTATCATTCTCTTGCTCTTGTCCCATATACACGTGTATATTTTTCTGAAACGCTTAAGTTGTAAACATGATATCCCATTATCTCTAACAATGTCTGGTACTAGTTCTTAAAAGCAAGAGCATTGTTTTCTATATCCACAATACTGTTATCAAGACCAGAAAGTTATCAGAGATACAATTCTATTATCTAATCTCTAGACATTTAAATTTTCTCAATTATCTTTTCTGGGATCTAATTTAGGATTATACTTTGTATTTATTCAGCATGGTTCTTAGTTTTTTAGAATCTGGAACAGTTACTCAACATTTTTTAAAGAATACAGGTCAGTAATTCAGAAGACTATCTCTTGGCTTTGGTTTAGCTGTTACTTTCTGTGGTTGGATTCAGGTTTTACATTGCTGGCAGAAATACTGCAAAAGTGATGATGTGATAACATCCTATCAGTTGGTATATAATATTGGTTTATTCCATTATTGATGTTATTAACTTTGATCATTTAATTAAGGTTGTGTCTGATAGGATTCTTCACTATGAAATTATTATTTTTCCCTTTGTAATTAATAGGTATTTTGTGTGGAGATATTTTGAGATGAGATAATGTCCTGTTTTCCATCACACTTTGAACTACTTGTTTTAGCACATAGCGATGATACTTGCCTAAAATAATTATTACCATAACAGTTGCCAAATGGAGATTTAAAAAAATTCCATCACTACATCTATTATTTGGAATAACACTCTACAAAAAAGCTTTCCTTTCTCCCGTTATTTTATTACATCAATAAGAACTTGTGCAATTTTATTTTATTCTTCTACATTATAATCTGTTAATATCTTTACTTTGCTCCTCTAATATTACTCTTTTAACTAGTGAAAATCACTTTAAGTTGATTCTTGCATCCATCTGACACACTCCCATCATTCTTTGAGCATTTGCTTCCTTTCTGGCAGTACAAAAAAAAAATCCCTGGGTTCATGTTGTTCCTTTTCTGCCTTAGCCTTGGAATCAGCCATTTCTCCAAGGAACCTGGGTCCTTTTGTTGGAGGACTAGCTGTACTCATGGATGGTGGTGTATCATTGCTTCTAGATACTCTGAGGGAATAGATGTATGTGAGTGTGTAATCATTTATAGTACATCAGTTTTTACTGCTCTAGATATTGGAAGCTGAACTTCTATTGTTAACTTCAACTCCAAGCTTTTCCTCTGCTCATATTTGTAACTCCTCTTATGAGAATAAGAAATCAAGACCTCATTATATTTACAGTATATTTACTTAATTTATTCATTCCTAGCGTACAGATAGAGAACTTTCATATCACTGTGTAAAAAAAGATATCTACGTGGTAGAGTACAGTATTTGTTTATTTTTCTTTTTGTTTTTAGTTTGAGGAAATTGGTAAAGTACTGTTTTCAAAGGTTGCCTGGGGTTAATTCTTTCTCCTTGATTTCTCTTTCAGTATGATTATGGTATTCATTTTAATTGCTGTGAGTTCATTCCAGTTTGGGTTCTTCTCTCTTATTATTGTTGTTTCTTATTTTTTCCAGCATGTGAAGCCTTAACGGGGAGTTTAAAAAACTGTACTAAAAGGAAGGATAGGTTATTCGAGTACTACAATGTAAAACTAATTGCTTTTCATTGTGTTTGTTCTTTCAGGAACTCATTTAATATTTCATTATTAAAAGGAATATGTGAAAATTCCTGCCAACCATTGAGAATTTCTCCCTTTGGACATTTTTCTTCTACTTTCTACATAACTTTCTTCGAAGTTCCTTTTTTGGTGCCATGTTTTGTGGCTTACATCAAAAGAGGAGTTTGTCTTCATGAAGATTCCTAACATTGGTAATGTGATGAATAAATTTGAGATCCTTGGGGTTGTAGGTGAAGGTAAGTTAGAATTTTTATGTTTCTTGAAGTTTTGAGCAATGTACAGTTATACCTACTACCTCAAAATTTACCACTTTAGGTCACATCAGTTTAGCCTATATCAATTCAGATATTCATTTAAGAGTATAAAATTTAAAATAAAGTTACTCTTAAATTGTTTGAGCCTTACACTCCATTTGAAAGTCAATTATACATTAAAACTTTTAAAAGTCCTGGTACCAGAGAAAAACCAAAAAAAAAAAAAAAAAAACCAAAAAACAAAAAAAACTTTTAAAAGTTTAATAAGTCAAAGTTTCTTTTTTGTCTTTTTGAGGCAAGGTTTCACTCTGCAGTTCAGGTTGGTCTTGAACTCACTAGCCCAGGCTGGCCTTGAACATGCAGTGATCTGCCTGCCTCAGCTTCTTGAGTGCTGGGATTATAGGTGTGCACCACTATGCCTGGCAATGAAAGATTTCTTAAGACTGCCTTTATTTCATTATTTTCATTAGTAATTATGGTTTATTAAGTACAGCATTACTATATTTTTTAAGTTACATTTTGTTTTTATATCAACTTTATTTTGAATAATTTAAAATTTATTCATACATGTAAAATTTTACTTAATACATGTTCAATAAGTGAATAAATAGCTTCTATTTTATTGAGAATGACAAACTTCATTTTATAAATTTTTAGGCACAGAATTTGGTCATATTTTAACATCTCTAAAATCAGGATCTGTCATAGCTTACATGGTAGTACATTTTCTTTCCTAATCGTACATAAAATAATTCTTATAACCACTGATATTATTGACTTGATAAAATATGGTAATTCATTTTTCATAAGCTGACTCTTAGAAAAGCCATCATTTATTCCTGACTTTTTTCTGCTTAGTAATTTTTGCTCTTAAAGATAACTTTATAGAAATCTTGATAAATGATTTTTTTATAGAAGATAAGTGATTATAATTATAGTTCCTTAGCATTTATGTTTTTAAATCAAATGTTACGAAAGTTTCATATTTTCCAAATTTTGAATTTAAAAAGAAGTTTTAAAAACTTAGATGAATAGCAAAGCAGTTCAAGATTTTAATATTAATTTGGCAAATCCTTTTCAAATAAATGGACATAAAGTAGAATCTAATCAATGGGTGCTTGTTTCAAAGTTTGACATTGAAACCATATGTACTAGTCAGCTTTCCTGTTGCTAGGACCAAACATACAGCACTTGCAATTTAAATGAAAAAAAATGGTTTATATAGCTTATAGTTTCAGAGAATTCAGTCCATGGTCTCCTGACTCCAAGGCAGAAACCTTGTGGAAAGGTGTGGTAGAGCACAGCTACTTAGTTAATGACAACCAGGAAACAGAGCAGGTTAGAAGTGCCAGAGATGAAGGGGCCAGGGACAGATACAAACCCCCAGGTCACGCCTCTATGATCTGCCATGCAGAAGTGTGCTTTATTAATCCTTGAGATAACTCCCAAGCTAATCAAATTGACAATCCACTTTAACCTTCATACTACATGAAAAGAATAAGTCCTTTATCCTTCACTTGTCTACTCCTTTTCTTTTTTTTAATTGGTATTAATTGTGTAAATAAAATTCATTTTGAATCTCTTACCTAATGCTTTATAACAGCTGCCGTTTTTCTTTTTTGTACCGGGAATTGAACTCAGGACCTTGTGCTTGCCAGGCAAGTGCTTGTGCCGCTGGGCTATATCCCCGGCAACAGCTGCCTTTTAAAATTTTACTTATCGGATGTATTGCAATTACAGACAGGCAGTAAAGCTGCTGACAGCACATAGGGTGCAGCAGCAAAGCTAGAATTTCCAAATTCTAAACCTAAGTTTTTCTGGATCATAATCTTGATTTTCTCATGTGTTTATAGGTGATCATCTTCTCAGGTGTTGGCTCAGATTAATCAAAATTATGAGACTTCTATATAAATTAGAATGTGTTAAATTATAATCAGAACCATTATATATATATATCCATAGTGTAATTTTTTTGGTAAACCACTTCAGATGGTTTTAGAAAAAAATATATAGGAAGTAATGGAGTGTATAAAAATTTGTCTAGCACACCCCACATTCCTATAGCATAAATAGTACACTTTCACTTCATAGGAAAACTGGCATATGCAGTTAGAATAATTGGATTGGAGGACTGGATACTTGTTAGTGATTGTGGAGTTAATTTCAGTGGTTCTCATGGCTGGTTCTACCTTAGCTATGGTAATAAGATTCATCAATCTCCAAAGCAAAGGAAACTTTTCAGAGTGTTGGAGGCATATTTCTCCATGTCATCTCCCTAAAGTCCCCTTCTCATAGTTGCATACAGGTTTATCCTGTCTGCTAATGCCACGGTTCTTGGTGTTTTTTCAGAGCTTGGTTATTATATATTAAGTTTTGATTCTGTTGTTCACATTGTAATTTTAACTTCAGTTTCTTGGTTTCCTTGCCGTCAAGGTATGCCTCTTTGTTCTGCTCTAAGAAAGTAAGTTTATTACCTTGGCAATAAGATAAGTAACCCAAAAGGCAGGAATGAATCTTATCAAAATACACCAAATAAAGTGGGAGTCATGTGGCCTGTGCACTTAGACGGAGTCTTTTATGGCAAAAAGGTAGCAACTCCTAGTAGTCATTAATTGAAGTGCTGAGACCTGCTGAGGATTGAACTCAGGGCCTCAAGAGTGCTAGGGACGCATTCTATCACTGAGATACATGCCCAGACCTGACTTATACTATTTTGCCACACAAAAAGGATATTCCAGTATCCTACAAGAGGGTTTAAATGACTTCTAGGACAGGCAGCATATTTAGATAGGCTCTATGCTTAAGCTTGCTCTTGGGAATTAATTAGCTTTTAAGTTTTAAGTTCCCTAGAATCTTTGGAATTAATTTTCATTTATGTACAAAGTTCCTATGACCCAGTCTTCTCTCAGAAAATGTTTAAGACTTTAAAACATGTCTCAAATGAAGTTTTCTTTAAAAAGGGAAACATTAAAAATATTTATTAAAATATATCTGTGTTCTACTTGAATATGGCTCATTATTGTATTATCATTCTAGAATACTGTAATTTTGTGTGTTATTATTATAACATAATGATAAGCAATGTAAATGTGGCACAGCTTTGATTTTTTTTTCAAGAGTTCTAATTTGTGTACATGCCCCTGATTATTTACTTCTTTCTTATTATAGGAGCCTATGGAGTTGTACTTAAGTGCAGACACAAGGCAAGTACATGGTTTTTGCAAGGAAAATATCTATTATGTTTAAACTGTTTTGAAACTAATGCATTGCTCTGTACATGTGGGCACATAATTAAAACCATCTGGGTATGATGATGACTCTTAATGAAGTAGAATTGCTGTGTGAACCTGGAAAAAAAGAAAAACTTTTCAGTAAGCTTGATTGTGGTAAGTAATTATTAGCTTTTTGCAATCCCATGCTAATTTTTTTAGCCTGTGTATAGGTAAAAAGCTGCCTAATGTGAAGAGAAAAAAGGTGGTGGAATGGGAAGAGGGAAGCAAAGTAGTGACAGAATTATGTTCAAATGTTATGAGTAAGAGGGAGTGTTGTTCAGTATTTTTCTTGTAGATCCAGTAACTTAGATTACTAGATGGATTTGAATACAGATTTTGAAGGGTAGTAGATAGCTGCTTGGTAATGAATTGGAACATGGAATAATAGTACATGATTATAATTACTAGCTGTAGTTGATCACCTTGGAACAGCGTTAAAATGAATCTTAGTATGGATTATTTGAGTGATAATAACGACAAATTATTCAGCTAAGTTATTTGAAGCTTCCATAGCTGTTGCTCAGTAGTGAGCATGTTTTGCTCAGAGACTAATTTCAAGATAGTAGATGTTGGGGCTGGGGATCTAGCTCAGTGGCATAGCACCTGCCTGGCAAGTACAAGGTCCTGAGTTTGATTCCCGGTACCAAAAAAAAGGTAAGTGTTGAAACTAACAATTTTAAGTGTTAGGTTACTTTTTTAATTTAGATGTACTAGATCTGAGTATTAATATTGGACCTCATGTTATTTTGCATATGATTTGCTAAGACTAAGGTTTTAAGATCAAAGTTTTAAGTATTTTGTGATTTTTATAATGATATATTTTGTGCCTGAGATATGAGCTTAGCAACTTCATTCAAATTATTTAAACTCTTGAATCTATTAGTCATCTATCAATAATAATATGTCTATAAATAAAGATGATATAATTTTTATGTTTGCTTTTTCTTTCCTATTATACAAAATACTGCCTACCTTTTGGATTTAAGGATTTGTAAAGTTTAATTTTTGTTTATTTATTTGTTGCTTTAGATCACAAATCTACTTTAATGCAGTGACTTTTCTATTCATGATATTAGATGTTTGAATTTTTTAAAAAGTTATTTTTATGTTATCTGATGGTCTCTTTGTCAGTAAATCCTCACCAATTGTTTGAATGCTATTGGTTCTTAATTAAATGTGATTAAGAATTTAAAATAACTAATAAAAATAAACTTAGTACCTTGACTGTCTTATTAAGAAATATCACTGCAGTTTTAAATTAAACATGGAAAGCTCCCTAATGAAATGCTATTCTTTTAATGAGTTGCTTAGAGTTACAGTAAATTTGTGAAGCTTAAAAAATAGAATTTCTGGTGGATATTACTTAGGGGAAATCAGTGGTCAGTTTCCAAGTTACATTTGACTTTTTTACGAATATAATGTCTCTTTTTATGTTGTAGCTCTGTTTGGATAGCATTACAGATGGAAGCTTCAGTTCTTAATCTTGGGTTTTAAAACCTAAAGACTTCTAAGCTATATACATATCTAATATAATATATATACACATATATACCATATAATTATGTATGTACAAATAGTCTAATATATTAATACAAACAGTTCAAGTTTTTTCTCTTATTGTCATACTTCACCATGTAACTTTTTTCTTTGTATTTTTTGTGGGTACCAAGAATTAAACTCAGGATCTTGTGATCACTGAGCTATATCCCTGGCCCTCTTTGTACTTTTTGAACCTTGCCTAAGCTGTCCTTCAGCCTTTTGTGTAAAAATAAACTTTAATAGTTGAGTGTATTGTTTTTATCTTTCCATTTACTTGTTTAAGATACAGTTGTTACATGTACCTGGTCCTCATAATAATGCACACGATTAGTTGACAAGAAAACAGGCCCAGAATGAAAGTGGATGAACGTAGGCATCCCTGCTCTTGGGAAATCAGCTCTGAATGTGAACTCTGATTCCTAGTGGCTGTGTGGAGGGGATTTTCAGTTATAAGGAGGAATAAACCATACTTTACTTGTCCTAGTATGGCTTAAGGTCTCTCTGAAGGGATGGAAGAAGAAACATAACCCGTGAAGTTGCTGCAAATGAAATTGCATCTAAAAAGTTTCTTCTTGCTATACTTCACTTGATGAGGGGGTCACTGACCAACTATCTAAGGATTATTGCTTTTCTTTTTATGCATCTAAAAGTATATCACTGGATGGAAAATTTAAAGCATAAATTAGTGCCTCAGAATAATATAAAACTCTTTTTAGAATCTGCAGCTGTTTAGTCATTAGACTTGTTATATCTTTTTCCCAGCTAAAATCAGATCTTCAAATCTATACCCCATTATCTAAAAATAGAGAATTTGATGCTTCTGGTAAGATTTACACTTTCAGATCAGACAAATGGATTACTGTAAAATTCATATTATAGTTAAAATGTATGTAATCTTCCCTATTGTAGTCATTATCTATAAAATGATCATGCTGATATATTTTGCATGCCTTGACATTTTCATGAAGTGCTTATAAAAATGTATAATCAGTCCTTTGTGATTACTTATGCATAGGTCTGTTGATTACTTAAGTGTAGATGGGTAACTTTAGAACGATTAGTTGTTAGCTATATGTATATATACAGAATTAAATAATTCTTAGGATAAAGTTACTGTTTTAATCTGTGTACTATCATAAGAGTTTAGAGTTCAAGTTTATAAATAGATATGTTTTGTCTTTTATGAATACAATATGATGTTGGGCTATTTCCGACCAAAGACCATACTTCTTAATTTACTGAAATAAATGATGTCCATTTCAGAAAGAATAGTATAGCTTGTACTCTTTTTTTTTGACAGATTGTGTTTATTGTTATATATACACATTGACACATATGTGAAAACTTTTAGCAATGACTGTTAAGCTTCTATTTATGGCTCCTTATGACTATTCACATTTGGAAGATATTCTGGTTTGGACCCTTGTCCTGCGTGTATGTATTGTTGATTTTATTTGCATGTGTATTTTGAAGAGCATATGAGAGAGGAAGTCATATTTTATAGGATGCTTTTCTGAAGAGAAGCCTAAAAGTGTCATGCTCACAACAAGGCAGAGAAAACTGAGTGAGGTTGAAATAGGAGGATTCAGGGCTGGGGATATAACTCAATGGTAGAGACTTGGCCTAGTATACGTGCGGCCCTGGGTTTATCCCCCATACTGAAGAAGAAGGACAGGAAAGGACAAAGGAGATTCAATTAAAGCCTGAAGAAAGAAAGCAAAAACAAAAACCCTGAAGAAAGAGAGTTTATGCATGAAGAAAATGGAGCACAGTGCTTACTGAGCCTAGGATGTAGAAGTGCTGCTTCATGTGATTCCTTTACCGTGGTTGGGGTTGACCTATATGAAGTTTTTATTTTGAGCTAGTAGATGATATATGTACTTGAGATAGCTAATTTACAAAGTTGTGAGCAATCCAGCGTTGGGATACATGTTATAAGTGGGCAAGAAGCATAGCATTGACTTAGAGAAAGTAAAGGACTTTAGTAGAGAGCTGTTGCAGAGTAATGGGAACTTGGTTTCTACAAAGGGGTGCAAAGTGATCCCAAGGATTTGAATGGAACAAACTGGAAAAGCATTGGTGTTGTTTCTGTGACTAGAACACTTATAAAGTGTATATAAATTTGAAGGGAGAAGTAATGATAATAAAGAATAAGAACGGCAACAGTAAAAAGCCTGATACTATTAGATACTGCATATTGAGCTCTCCCGTATACCAGACACTGTAGTAGATGTTTTAAGTCCACAACAACCCTGCTCTTACTCCTATTTGACAGTTAAGGAAAACTGAGTAATACAGGAGGTGTATCACAAAGCTAAGGTCATGTAGCTGGTAAGTGGTGAAGCTAGGCAGTGGACTGCCTCCAGAGACTGCTACCTTGAGCTGTGAAATGATATGAATCTTCCAAGAGGGTGTGTGGAGCAGAGTAAATTGGTGAGACTGAAGAAGAGGTGGGCAGACCTCTTGAAACAAAGAAAAGAGATATTTTAAAGATATTACTCACCAGTGGTTTAAGAATCCATAAAAAGTTCCATGATAATAAGGATTGAGAGGCGAGCAATTCCATTTCATTTAACAAGGCCATTTTATTAGTGAGGTTTTTTGATGAAATGGTATGTTGAATGCCAGATTGTAAGAGGTTAAGAAGACGGTAGATAGAGAAAATCTGGGATGGGCCATTTTTTTTCTTTGAGTGTTGGAAATTGAGATTGAGGGTACCAGGCAGTGCAGATTTGGTTAAATAGTCTGTAGTCAGGAATAGCCATATTCCCTTCTATGAAGAGACATTCTTAGCTCTTATTACTCAGTTGTTACAAGTTGTTTTTAGCTATAAGTCTTCATTTTTAGCAGGCATTATATATTTTGAATTAGTGATTCCTTTTCAGATTAAATTAGTTTTTTTACTATAAAACTAAATGAGAATTTGGTTACTTTTTTTGTAAACCAAGCTTTTCAAGAAGATACTTGAGGAAAAGCCAATGAACAATCACCAGTTTAACAGATTATTTATAGTATTTGGGGATATATTTACCTTTGGCAAATTGCTACCATCTAAAGCAGTACAGTTATTTTCTTCTAAAATAATACAACAACAAAAAAGTAAAACAAACTTTTCCATTAGGTTTTATGTGTGAATTAAAAATTTAAGAAAACATTAAAGTGATAAATCAACAGTGAAAAATTGACTGTTTAGGATTAGTTATGTTATTTACTTTCTTACTACTTTCCTTCTTAAAAATAAGAGCTTTTGTTTTCTGTTTGTAAAATTTCTAGCAATTGAAAGAAATTAGAGAGACTTAGAGTTTTTAATAAACATTGTAAGATGCTGGAAGTATTATTATTTCAATACAATCTTTTTAAGGAATTACTCTCTTTAAATGACATTAATTTAC